ATTTCCAATTTCAATTTCTAATATTTTTTTGATATATATACATTTGAACTTTTTAAAAATTCAAATGATGTATTTTATCAGTTAAATATCAAAAATAAATATTGTTTTAACCGTGTTTCTTTTTCGAAAATGTTGAGCATTAAGAAAACATTGAATTGTGTTAATTTTGTGTGCCTACCTTGTTAGTCTTTACAGCACTGACTGTATAGTCCGTAGCGACCCTTTAGCTTCTGTGAAATGATGAACGATATAGAGGCGTCTGTAGACCATGAAATTGTATATTCTATTCAATTCTCCATTGGTCTGTCTCATTACCGGTGGATAACAATCAATCACGTCCTCTTGCATATCGAGTTGAAACGTTTGCTCCCAATTGAAATTTGGAACTTTTGACACTTTAGTTTGGTTTGTTGTTTGTTGTTGGGAGACCAGGGCTTTGCGTCAAATGCACGTAAGACTGACAAATGTGAATACTATAAGTAAGGTACAAGTGTATACCCTCTGCCAAACAAAATACATATGTGTAATGATATAACACTTTGATGAAAAATAACACATCACACGGAGATATTGACTTTACGGGTTAACAGATTACTTACTTTGTACACAATACGTACCTTGGTAAGTCTGATTTAGACATACCAGGGGATCTGCATATTCGTATTATTGAGTATTTCCGTTCCTTTAACACTGCTGAACATCTCTTAAGAAAGGGCATTGCAATAAGCCAACAGTGAATAGTTAAAATGTCAACAAATACAACTACATTTACTTCATAAATACTAAAACTAAAATCAAAAGAAGAATCATACATGCCAAAATTAAGCTTCCTCGTTGTCAAGTTCATAGATGTTTGGAGAGCCAAAACAAAAAGGGCAAAAGTTGAATATTACGAAAAACGGAACATATGTATTGAGCCCCACTGAAACCCAGTTGTATACCAAATTACATTACATATTGCATGAAAGTGAGTTATGAACTGAGTAATAGTCATGAAAAGGCTTTTGGACATGACGTCCTTTGCGTCCATATTGAAGGTCTGTATCGAACGTCTTAAACCCATTGTTTAAGGTGACATTGTTACACTCGCATGAGAAGTTTCAGCTCCACTGATCCAGAGGTTTGAGAAGAAGAAGTTATCAAACGACGTCGGTGAAAAAGGACGCCGGTAGCAGGCCATGATGTTAGTTCACTTGGCCTTTATTCAGGCGAGCCACAACTGAGAGTAATATGGTTTGACGTGAACACGAATATGATCAGCTACTTGTGCCTTTGAGGATAATAAGTGTTGTTTTATCTTGATCCGGAATGTCTCCGAAAGGAAATCCCATACTATATTACTTTAGGAACCATGCTCATTATACCCATGATATTCCTTGAAAGGACTGTTTAGAGATACAGAAAATGTCATATTTTTTCACTCTGGTAACGTGCCGTCCCTTGCTGGAAAGGGATATGTAAGTGGACATTAATATTAATTTCAACCAGTATTTCATACACATAGTGATATTCAACATATAATGGATGTCTACCACATTCACGATAGACTACAACATTAGAGAATGATTTGTTCATATTGTGAATGAACTTACATGTACGTAATGACCTAAGTACAATATTTCCTATTTTTTAATACTAATACCGGCTTATCTTCAAACAGAACAGTGCAAGATAGTTACACCCAGCATCGACTATGCAAATGCCGTTATCTAAGCTGGTCTTTATAGATTCAACCAAATTTCATAAAAAAAAAACATTTCCATAATCATAAATGAAAAACTTCAACGCCCGGGAATGAGCATCTTCCCGAGGCAAGGTCGTTAACTGACTGTAAAAGCCCAGTTTCCACCCTGTCTTACGAGGCTGGAATTTCTGGGCTCGATCGTAGCGCCACCAGTGGCTATTTCGAGTTATGTCCCATCTATGTCTTCCTTATTGACCAATCAGATTCCACCTCTCATATCATTTACATTTGCTTCAAACACAATGGCGACAGTCATGTCGATCTGATAGATAATAAGATTGTACTTTATAATAAAACGGGTCTTACTTCGCGAAGTGCATCAAATCACGTGCGCACCTTTATTAAAAACATGAAATTATTTGGAAACTCTCTGTTGACGGCGAGTCGTCGGTAAATCTGCAAACCCTGCAAGCGATCGAAATCTGTATGGCAGCTTACGAACCGGATGTCTATTTCATTACCTGATCTGAAATTATATCCATCAGAAATTATATCCATCAGTGCAAGTCTAAAAATAAATAAATTGAGGTATTTTTATGTAAATATGTATAAGTATTGTTCTGGTTGAATGAGGCGTGAACCATGGGGAAAACTAGTTTTTAACCTATCAGTGTCAAGACACAATAAAAGTTGTTGCAGGATCAATCGGGAACAATGGGGATTTATGCGTCCCGCGTTAGGTTTTATACCACGAACCGAAGGCATAAAAACGCATAAGGCCCCGATTGATCCTACTACAACGAATTTATCTTAACGATATGTTTAAATATGAAATTGTACACTAATTATAACAAATTCAAAGTTAAAGGAATGAAAACAGCTGTTCGATTGAGCGGAGGTTAGGGGGTTGTGCTATGTCACGCGACTTTCATTGACCCGGAAAAAGCGTGCGGCTTCTTGCTTCGGGGCGGGGTATAAGGGATTTATTCTGCCTCTCGGAAATCCACGTCGTCCTGTCTGGATCGTGGCGAGTTCCAAGGGATTTAGTCTCCCCCTGACAAATTTATTTCCCTCCAAGACGGGATACATAGTATCTTATCAAGATCACGTGGACCAATCAGATCTAATCATTCTGACATTGAGGTATGATAAACTGACTTAAGACCGGTGCATGTAACAGAGAGGTATTGTACGTGCGCTTTCCCGAATGGAATGGCTGTAAAACTAGTGTCCTTGCTCATCTGTGTGATGCCGCGTTTTATGATGCACATTACGGCGTGCTCAATGTATGTGGCCATCCTGCACATTGTGGCGTGCTAAATGTATGCGGCCATCCTGCGCATTGTGGCGTGCTCAATGTATGCGGCCATCCTGCGCATTGTGGCGTGCTAAATGTATGCGGCCATCCTGCATTTTTAAGAATAATTAGTTTAGCTTTAATAAGATTTTACTTTGTCATGTCGTAGTTCTGTCATTATTTGCTGTTGCAGGCGCAATGATATATGTTATTGGGACATTTCCTTGACTCTCACTCCATGTTCTCCCCGGTAACATGATGGATATGGCAAACATGCAGGGTGTGGTTGACGTGACGGATGCAATAGACGTAGTGGATGTAGTGGGCACATCTACCACAACCAATATCCAATATCCACTAAACATACCAAAGCCTACATGTTCGGCATCCATTAAACTCACCACTCCTACAACATCTACCCCACCACCACACGCACCACATTCACTACACCCACCTGCTTGTCGTAAGAGGCGACGAACGGGATCGGGTGGTTCATGCATGTCATCGTATCCCAATTTCGTGGATCGATGCTCATGATTTCAATCACTGGATTGTCTGGTCAAGACTCAGCATTTACAGACCGCCATCATAGAGCTGGAATATTGCTGAGTGCGGCGTAAAACAACAAAAAAGCAAAACAACACCCACCACATCCATCACACTTACAAGATCCAGCCTTCCACACTCACCACACCCAACACGTGCACAGCATCGACCACACACACCACAAACATCACACACACCACAAACACCACACAGACCACAAACATCACACACACCACACTCACCACACACACCACAAACACCACACAGACCACAAACATCACACACACCACACTCACCACACACACCACAAACATCACACACACCACAAACACCACACAGACCACACACACCACTCACATCACACACACCACACTCATCACACACACCACAAACATCACACACACCACAAACATCACACACACCACACACATCACATTCACCACTCTCACCAAATCCACCATATTAAGGACATATTCATGTTGCTAGTTGCTAAGAAGTTGCGAACCATAAAAAAGTGTCATGTATTCATATTCAGGACCCTCACCACATCCATCACACCATATTCGCCACGCTATCCACATCCAATATCCACCACATCCACCACGTCCATTACACCATATCCGCCACACTATCCACATCCACCATCCAACACAACCACCACACCATATTCGCCACGCTATCCACATCCACCATCCAACACATCCACCACGTCCATTACACCATATCCGCCACACTATCCACATCCACCATCCTACACAACCACCACACCATATTCGCCACGCTATCCACATTCACCATCCAACACAACCACCACGTCCATTACACCATATTCGCCACGCTATCCACATCCACCATCCAACACATCCACCACGTCCATTACACCATATCCACCACAATATCCACATCCACCATCCAACACAACTACCACACCATATTCGCCACGCTATCCACATTCACCATCCAACACAACCACCACGTCCATTACACCATATTCGCCACGCTATCCACATTCACCATCCAACACATCCACCACGTCCATTACACCATATCCACCACAATATCCACATCCACATCCAACACAACCACCACATCCATCACACCATATTCGCCACGCTATCCACATTCACCATCCAACACAACCACCACATCCATCACACCATATCCACCACAATATCCACATTCACCATCCAACACATCCACCACATTCATCACACCATATCCACCACAATATCCACATCCATCGTCAAACACAACCACCACATCTATCACACCATATCCGCCACACTATCCACATCCACCATCCAACACAATCACCACATCTATCACACCATATCAGCAACACTATCCACATCCAACACAACCACCACATCCATCACACTATATCCACCTTATTCGCCTCATCAACGGCATTCACTACACATACCACATTCATCACACCAACCAGACCAAGCACATCCATAAGCCCTACAAGATCTAATACATACCACACTCAACACCCCCACCACAGTCATCACACCTCCTACATCCACGGGAGTGGTATATGTGATGGGTGTTGTAGATGAAGTGGGTCTGGTAGATATAGTCGATGTGGTAGTTGTCGCGGGTGTGGTAGATGAAGCGGGCGTGGTAGATGTCGCGGGTGTGGTAGGTGAAGCGGGCGTGGTAGATGTCGCGGGTGTGGTAGATGTCCCGGGTGTGGTTGATGGGGTGCGTGTGGTTGATGTCGCGGGTGTGGTAGCTGTTGTGGGTGTGGTAGATGTGGGTGTGGTAGATGTGGTGGGTGTGGTAGATGTGGTGGGTGTAGTAGATATATGTAGTGGGTGTGGTAGATGTCGCAGATGTGGTTGATGGGGTACGTGTGGTTGATGTAGTGTGTGTGGTAGATGTGGTGGGTGTGGTAGATGTGGTAGATGTGGGTGTGGTTGATGTAGTGTGTGTGGTAGATGTAGTGTGTGTGGTAGATGTAGTGTGTGTGGTAGATGTGGTGGGTGTGGTAGATGTGGTAGATGTGGGTGTGGTTGATGTCGCGGTTGTGGTAGATGTAGTGGGTGTGGTAGATGTGGGTGTGGTAGATGTGGTGGGTGTGGTAGATTAGGCGGGTGTGGTAAATGTGGTGGTAATGGTAGTTGTAGTGAGGGTGGTAGATGTAGTGGATCTGGTAGATTAGGCACATGCAGTAGATACGCGTGCACTGTTAAATCTTTCACAACACACTCGGAATATATACAAAAGTTGCCAAACAGTGACAAGTTTCCTTGTTAACAAACCCAAAGCTTCATGAGGCCTGCATATTTTGTCTCACCGTTATCGTTTTTAACATTCATTGCCAGATAGTGAAACATCAGTAACCCCAACTCTGTTATGTCGTTATAGCGACGATGTTATTAAAAGGTGCCCGTCGACACCCATCAGCACTACAATCTGATATCGTTTGACTGAAGGCTGATTTTTAAATATCGTAAAATGTTATGTCATGTCTTTTATTCCCTCATAATACATAATATGTAGTTCCTAGTTTATTTCCTTGTAAAACATTTGTACGAGAATTCACTGGAAAAATATAACTTCTCCTCCGGTTTTATCCCATGGAAATTTGTTTGTGTTATTTAGGGAAATACATCGCGTTATTTAGGGAATACTAAGTATTCTACTGTTTGGATGATGCTACACAGACTGGGAGTATAAACATATTAATTTTGATTCTGAAACAAAATAGAATCTGAGCACATCTAAATTGCTCGTCTTTTGCAGCTGGGTTTTAAAATAAATGCATAATTTACAATATCCGATCATAAAAGTGCAGACTCTATGTACACGCCCACCACATCCCATCATCGGAAGAGGCTTCCTCTTATCTGTTCCTGTTCAGCTTGACTAATACGTTTACTGAAATCTACTTGCCATGAATCACACTTCCAGATAAATACGTCTCGTTACATTCACCGGATACTTACACCAAATGTGATATTAGCATCAATATACATCAACAAGCCTCCTTATCGTATTAGGCGCAGGAAGGAATTCTATGACGTCACAGCGCGTGGAGTCAGGACCGTTCAAGGGAACGGTTAACTGCTCGACAGCAACTTTGTGGCATATTGGAGGAGATTTGGAGGTACGTCTTGTTTCATTCCTAAACAAAACACATTTTTCTATAACATTTCTGTCAAAAGTGAAAGACTATCCCTTGTTGTTCACATAAGCTCGGATAAGTAACGTGTGCAAATCGACGCTATGGAGCTATCATTAATGAGATATTTGCACATCGGGATGAGAAATCATATCTCACAGTTAATTGAAACCCACGTTGTTCTGGTCAGGCTTATAAAACACGATGCTTGACGTGTATGCACATAGACGGATCCAGATGTAGTATACTGTAGGTTGTACAGCTGAGAGAGGATTTGGATATGTTGGACTCCTTCCTTTTGAACATGCTGGACCCGCCCGTGATGTACATGTAAGTGTTATTAACAGAGACAGCTATTACACTTGTTGCTGGATTCTGTTATCCGACACTTCTGTCTACAGTTCCGGTTTCAAAATAAGGAGTATTTTTCAAACGGCAAATATCATCTCAGTTAAATAACTATTGCGGTAAAGGACATGGGGTAAGTTGTAGTTCGTGTATTTTTATAATATAGTGCGTGTACAAGACTGAGGGTGGTGCTAATCCCAGGTGTTGAAGCGTTAGTTCGTCACGCCGTAATCCCGGGTTCGATTCCCACATGGGTACAATGTGTGGAGCCCATTCTAGTGTCCCCTCTATATTGTTGGAATATTGCTTATATCAGCTTAAAACCATACTCACTCACAACATTCTTCTTTACAGATATAATTAATTATATTACTATTTTAACTTAATTTGTACACTGATTATGTTGACGGATTCATAAACGATACAAACTATCTTCACTATTGTTGTCACTAACAAATGTCAATTACTTGTTAAATGTTGCCTGAGTTCTCAGGTCTATGTTCGAATCCATGACTCACCCTGGTTAGGTTGTTATAAAATCTAAACCTTGCTTTAACCATGGTTTTACCGTGGCTAAACCTTGCTCAGGCTTACCCTCAATACTAAACTGATACGTCATATTGGTAACACTCGTCCTCAAACACACTCACTCACTCAATGTACCGCGGATGTCACTGTCCACATCACCGATGTAAACATCTGCACAAAATTGTCAAAACTTCCATACTGAATGTGGCGAGTCGTGTGTGTGGCGAGTCGTGTGTGTGGCGGGTCGTGTGTGTGGCGAGTTGGGTGGTCAGCTGTATGGATGTAAATGTATTCAATAAGGACGATCATGTGTGTGTTCTTCATTTACATGTCTGTATTACGTCATTATTGAATATGTATCCAGCATCATTATTGAGTGGTCACGCAGATAATATGAGATAAAAGAATAAGGAAAATGTTGCAATCTCGCCATCCATGAGAGCAGTTCATGTGCATCTTGAATGAACCACGCTGTACCCACTTTCACTGTTACTTGTCGTGTACTTCACGACATGGGCTAAACCACTCGTTGGGTTCAGGTCTGTGTTTTAGGTAGTCTTAGTTCAATATTCCTGTTTCATGGAATCATCCAGTCATTATGACATAGGCATAGCAGCATGTTCTTCAATTGTTACACATTGTCAACATACTCAGGCCAATGTGACGCTCATGTTCGACACCCTACAACAAATATGACTGATATATAAGGGCTCGACATCATTCATATATGACGGCTCCACGTGACTGATATATAATGGTTCTACATATCTGAGGGCAGTGGGTAAAGCGGTCTCTCGTAAAAGCGGCCCTGGTTCTTTTCCCAAAATGGGTACAATGTGTGAAGCCTATTTCAGGTGACCCCCGCCATGATATTGCTGGAATATTGCTAACGGCGGCGTATAACCATACTCACTCACTCTATATGTCTTATCTGCAATGACTCCACATGGCCGATATATAACGGCTCTACGTGACTGATATATAACGGCTCTACATGGCTGATACATATCGACTCTACGTGACTGATACATATCGACTCTACATGGCTGATATATATAGACTCTACATGGCTGATATATATCGACTCTACGTGACTGATATATAACGGCTCTACATGGCTGATACATATCGACTCTACGTGGCTGATATATATTGACTCTACATGGCTGATACATATCGACTCTACATGGCTGATATTTATAGACTCTACATGGCTGATACATATCGACTCTACATGGCTGATACATATCGACTCTACATGGCTGATACATATCGACTCTACATGGCTGATATATATTGACTCTACATGGCTGATATATATAGACTCTACATGGCTGATACATATCGACTCTACATGGCTGATACATATCGACTCTACATGGCTGATACATATCGACTCTACATGGCTGATATATATTGACTCTACATGGCTGATATATATAGACTCTACATGGCTGATATATATCGACTCTACATGGCTGATACATATCGACTCTACATGGCTGATACATATCGACTCTACATGGCTGATACATATCGACTCTACATGGCTGATATATATTGACTCTACATGGCTGATATATATAGACTCTACATGGCTGATACATATCGACTCTACATGGCTGATACATATCGACTCTACATGGCTGATACATATCGACTCTACATGGCTGATATATATTGACTCTACATGGCTGATATATATAGACTCTACATGGCTGATATATATCGACTCTACATGGCTGATACATATTGACTCTACATGGCTGATACACTGTATATAACAGCTCTACATGAGGTATATATAATGGCTCTACATTGATGACATATAATGGCTCTACATGACTGATATATAACGGCTCTACGTGACTGATATATATCGACTCTACATGACTGATACACTGTATATAACAGCTCTACATGAGGTATATATAACGGCTCTAGATGTCTGATTTATATTGGTTTTACGTGAATGATATATTACGGCTCTACATGAAGTATATATAACGGCTCTACATGACTTATATACAGCGGTTCTACATGACATATATAACGAATCTACATGTCAGGTATATAACGACTCTACATGGTTGATATATAACGGCTCCACATGAAAAAATAATGGCCATTCATGACTATGAGTGTACCTGTGTGTGTGCATACATACGTGAGCGCGCGTGTGTCCTTTCGTGGTTAACGCCGCACACATTAATATTCAAGCTAATAATCGAGTCTGGACTAGACAACCTAGTGATTGATTTTACTTAAACCTGAACAGAACCGAACCCCCACGTCGCTTATGTAACGTATTTATTGTGGGGATGTTACGGCAATGAATCCCTGAAGCCTTTCTTCAAGATCTCCTACTCTGCGGACAGCTCATGTGTTTACCGTTATCTCACACGCACGCAAGCCCCGGTGTCGCGAGGGGGCTATAGTTATGTGTCTGGTATGCGAGAAATCCGAGCAACTTCCGTGAGTGAGATGAACGCGATAGCCTTATACAAGACACTTTTGTAGGCGTCCGTCCCATCGCATGAAATGTCCGACTCTGCAGGTTACTCTACCTCGTGTGAATGTGTTTAGTCTGAAAGCGTTACTCTGTTTATATTAGCATTCCAATCCGAGCGTACGGGACACGACAAGCACAACACGGTATGAGGTAAGGCTGACTAGTAAACGTAATTTATACAATGTATATCAATTTAACGACAAAGATGGAGATGCATCCCGCTGTAAAACGAACATATATTTTTCTTAAGCGTTTCTCTGCGCTCGTAAGCAACAACTCCCTGCACTTTTTACACAGCAGAAGTAATTCAAAGTCAACATGTGTTTAGTTTTATTAAATCCGTAAACACTGTATTGTGTTACTGGATTGTCTGGTCCAGACTTGATTGTATACATGCCTCGAACTCAGCATTTTTTCAGGATGCGGCGTCAGGGAACAAATACTTACTTTCTTATGTACATTGTGTGACAATCGGATGCTACCGGTAGAGCAGAACATGCTGACCATTTTCGCTAACACCTGTGTCATCACTGATCCATTCATCTTATTCGGTGCGCATTGGAATCTGTTTCGGCGGATAACCGAGACAGACTATTATATGGCGTTGATGTTACCTACATGTATATAGTTTGATGTCTAAAAGTTGATCTGGGAATACGTATAACACCTGAAACGTTTAGGGATTATACATGGATGTATGCATGGCTATTTACTTAATATATTTTCAACCCGTGAAGATCCGGGTGGAGAACAGGTCTTCAGCAACCGATGTTTCCTAACAGGTAAAACTATGCGTGTCATATGAGGCGACTAACAGGATCGGGGGTATGGCTCTCTGACTTAGGTCATGCATCGTATCCTAATTTCCTTGATCGATGCTCATGACATCAACCACAGGATTGTCTGGTCCAGATGCGATTTATTTTCAGACCGCCGTCGTATAGTTGGAATATTGCCGAGTGCGGCGTTAAACATCAAATCAAACAAACAAACAATCAATATATTTTCAAGGTACACGATGAAATGAATCTATAGAGATGACAGGTGTTCTTCTAGGCACTATAAGACGCCTACTACAAGCTGTCAGTGAATTTGATAAACGTAAGAGTAGACATCGTGTCGTTTACCAGAATAACAGTTGTACGGACTGTATGTGCATCTTGTCAGTGCCATGGTGTATCATGAGTGTAGATGTACGGATACGGAGCCTGGCCTCCCCACGTGTACGGTGGATGTGCAGCCCCCTCGGCCGCTCACCGCACATAATGGATGCAACAGACTTAGTCAACATGGCTCCCCCTCCAAAGCCCTTGACCCAGAAACATGGAGTGCAGCGCGAGTATTGACAGAGAACTTTTGCATTTCCTGTGGGATGATGCCTGTTATGTTCATAAACTTGAAATGGCTTCTATAGAAATCGTCTACGTTAATAATATTTCTACTAAGGTGTATACGAATGTCTGGAAATGTGGAAAAGGTCAGGTATCAATATCAAATATACAGGGACATCATGAGGAAATACTCCGTGGTATAAAAATAGAGGTTAGAGGTGTATACCGTTGAGTGCTTGATGGAGAGAGAGAGAGAGAGAGAGAGAGAGAGAGAGAGAGAGAGAGAGAGAGAGAGAGAGAGAGAGAGAGGGAGGGGATATTCATTGTTTCTTGCAAATATATCATGAGGAAATACTCCGTGGTATAAAAATAGAGGTTAGAGGTGTATACCGTTGAGTGCTTGATGGAGAGAGAGAGAGAGAGAGAGAGAGGATATTCATTATTTCTTGCAAATATACATTTTCATCGCATCCACAGAGCGAAAAGACCAGCAAAGACTTAATGTGTGTCTTGTTGATTTGTGTAGCATCAGCTTAACGTCCAGGTAAATATATTTTTTTTAATTCAAGAGATGCTATGTGCGTGAATATTTTATGCAATGTAACTCTCTTTCAATTCTGGCGCGATGGGGTAGTCTAGTGGTTAAAACGTTGGCTCGTCACGCCGAAGTCCCGGGTTTGATGTCATACATGGGTTCAATGTGTGAAGCCCAACCATGGTATCACCGCCGTGATGTTGCAGAAATATTGCTAAAAGTGAGTAAAAACATACTCACTGTATGAATTGTATCAATTCGTTGGGCATCATGAGTTCGCTAATGCGTGGCATTTTAAGGATTGCGGCCAAGCGCAGCGATACCTGCCCACACGGCATACGGATAGTATTGCTGGACTGCGTAGATATACCAGGATACACCATGGTCCATCGTTAGCTCCACAGCAGACATATGCATTGAGTATCATTGAAAGGTTAATATATAGGAATAAAGATATACCCCTGTCCAACGTTACACACAAACTATATGTGGTATAAATGCGGGATCAGTAGATATAGCAGGATATATCACCACCCAACGATACCTCCATGCCAACTATACGCGGTATGTATCTGGAATCATTAGATATACATAGAGGTTATCACGCGAGTGTGTTTGGGGATGGTAAATATCCTGCATTAGGAATACACATTGTATTTAGCGAGCCTTGGCGAGCGTGATAACCTCTTTATCACTTAATGTCATTCTTTAATTCTGTGCTTGAAAATCGCTTTCCCTATCTCACAAACATTACCGAAACATTGCGAGTTTTCCTGGAATGCGCGCATTAATATTTATTACAGTGTAAGTGTAAGTGATGTGTCAGTCGGACTTTGACAGTAGCCAATTTAGTTCCAACTGAAATCTGTTTCTTATACAGTGGCGAAGCAACATATACCCAAAACAACAATTGCTTTTAATTGCCTTTCGCGGCAATCCATCGGTCTGTCCGCAAGAGTAACTGCCCTTTGTCAAAGGGAAGCTACTCTAACCCTAGTCTATGAGACGTCACGGCCACGGTCAGACGTTGTTGACAGTCGGTCTGTCCTGTCATACCGTTAATAAATGTAGTCAGATGTACACTCAGCGACAAAACGAAACACGGTAACAATTCAAACATTTTTCGGCCAAATCCAACTATTTTAATTTGTGGAGAAGGTTTCAAGCCGCAGAGGTCTACAAGCACAGATATGGCTACTGATCCCGCTTGGCTAGGCCTCGTGCCCTCGCAAAATTGTTTCGAAATTTATATCTCCAAAGTTGCCAAAACTTATAAAATGCCCTAGCTACGTCACAGTTAGACACTGGTTTTCAGTATATTAGACTTTTCTTTTAATAATGATAGCAATTATCCCAGTAGTTTATCCAGATTCCCGATGGCTAATTCTGACTCGATCACCGGATGACATGGGCGACGCCATGTTTGTTTATAAACAGTAAAAGTAGTCCCTACTTGAGCTTTGATATTTGCATCTCTATCATATGACCCCAACGGATATCGTTTTTATCCGTTGGCTTTGTCCTGCCGAGAAATCTACCCATTATATGATAAAAGGATATACCACTGCTCCCAGGTACCTCCATATCAACCATGTCTATTCACTTTTTCACATCCGGAATTTGAAGATATACAAGGATAATGCGAATGAATACCATACAGTCCACTTTGCTATTGAGATTAATAGGGAAACAAGAAATATTTATTGTTTAACCAGCATAGACAAAAAATCTCTTCAAAGTACCGAAAAAAATACAATTCCGTCACAATGCGCCCGTACATTATTTTGATGTTAGTTTGTTTGTTGTTTAACGCCGCACTCAGCTATATGACGGCGGTCTGTAAATAATCGAGTCTGGACCAGACAATCCAGTGACTGATATCATGAGCATAGATCCATGCAATTGGGATACGATGACATGCATCAACCATGTCAGCGAGCCTGACCACCCGTTAATCACCTCTTACGACAAGCACATTCGCCTTTTACGGCAAGCATGGGTTGCTGAAGACCTATTCTATCCCGGATCTTCACGGTTCGTACGTCATTTTGGAGTAAATATAAATTAAAGCGACAAAACACGTTCCATAATCATAAGAAGTCTTTGTTGAATGCAGAGTCGACTATATGTATGTGGTCATGACCACTACCCCCTGTTGTTGTTTACATTTTCTTTATTAGCAACTCTAGGCATCAGTTGAGTGAGTGAGTTGTGTTTAACAGAATCTTAGTAATACCACGGCGTTATTAACGATGGAATATTACTGATGGCTTCTTTTTAGTGAACATTTTATCAGAAGGCACACTAAGAACGTAATACCCAAGTTAATCTAACCTGACCAATGAACGTTGAAATATACAAATATAAGAATATGAAACGCCAGAGATTAACCAGTCTCGATTATCCGCCGAAGCAGATTCCATTTGGCGTAAAAAGCAAAATAGCCGTGAAATTCATATGAATGGATAACTGAAAATCGTCGATGACACAAGGGGTCGAATGTCCCGTTATATCAGTAGCACCGCTACACAATTTACAAAGAAATGGTAAGTATGTATTGTCTGACGCCGCACAGTGATACACTGGTCTGTGAACAATCCCGACAATCAAGTCTTGGACCTGAAAATATGGTGACAAAATAGGGCATTTCATGATTTTATTGAAACAACAAACGATGTGTTATTTTGAATTATGTCTGCTGTGTACAAGTGCAGAGACCGCCACCGTGGTCTAGTTGTAGAGCGTCCGCCCGGAGAGCGGAAGGTCCTGAGTTCGATCCCCGGCCGCGTCATACCAAAAGACGTTAAAAGATAGTACTTGTTGTTACCCTGTCTGGCGCTCGGTATTAAGGGGCTAACACAAGGACTGGTCGGCTCGGAGTCAGTATACTGTGTCTCAGTGGGGTATTCATGTTAAACTGCGGCATGGTATCTCAGTGAGCTAGCACTATAAATCGGCATCAGTCCGGTCTAGTACAAGCAGCCACACACACACACACACACACACACACACACACACACACACACACACTTGCATGCACGTCGCTATATAAGTGCAATAATCTTGGACGCGACGTTAAACCCCATTTCACCTCACCGCAAGTGCAGAGATTCTGCTGCGTCTAAGTAAAGAAAAACGTTTGAGAACTCAAGTATGTTCGTTTGCAGTGGGAGGCAATTTTAATATCTCGGCCCAAACAATGGTCACGAAGATGCGTAATAGTTTATTTCATTCTGAAAAAAAAGTTGTTTTCGTATTAATGTGTGTATATACAATGGTGTACATAACTGTCATTGTTAGCTATTGTTGTTCTTTTACTGTCATACCAACTAACAAAACAAGTGAGCGACAATGTAGAGACGCGTCACCTGCTATCGCTGACCGACATTTAGTCAGGCAGTGTTGTGTGTCCACATGGAAACAACACAATAACATTAGCAGGATCCTGGACGATTAGGTGGTGAGGTGAAATGGGGTTTAACGTCGCGTCCAAGATTATTGCACTTATATAGCGACGTGCATGCACGTGTATGTGCGTGTGTGTGTGGCTGCTTGTACTAGTCCGGACTGATGCCGATTTATAGTGCTAGTCTACTGAGATACCATGCCGCAGTTTAACATGAATACCCCACTCAGACACAGTATACTGACTCCGAGCCGACCAGTCCTTGTTTTAGCCCCTTGATGCCGAGCGCCAGACAGGGTAACAACAAGTACCATCTTTTAACGTCTTTTGGTATGACGCGGCTGGGGATCGAACCCTGGACCTTCCGCTCTCCGGACGGACGCTCTACCATTAGACCACGGAGGCGGTCCCTGGACGATTAAGGCGAATACGATTCATGTCATGACCACCTACTAACGTCATTATGAGCGGTTCGTGTTTCATGAAGGATGTCAATATTACCACTGAAGAGCTTATAAAATGTATAAAATAAAGTATTTTGTTGCTAAACACGACACTCCGCAATATTCAAGCGGTATGGCGGAGGCCTGTAAGTAATCGATTGAGAATAATTGATTATAAACAACTATCCATCATAATGTTAACATTATTGATCACACCATTGTAACTGTGTACATTCCCCAGTAAGACTATGTGAATAAAAAGTATTGATTTTTTTTCAACATGTGACCATGCATTCAAGAAATATGACGATTTCCTATTGATTTTAGATACGCTCTTTAAACTGCATTGTCATAAATGTAAAGAATTGAAAGAAAGCCATCATCGACATTTATTTTTCAGCAGTTATGGGAACGATCAAATACCATTGGTATACAATGTACTGTTCACCTTAGCTACACTTGCTTAAATAGATAGGGCTGCATGCCGATGTAACGTATTGGATATTTCTATTCAAGTCGGTTTAATTAGCTATACATATCCATACATTCATTTTAGGCAGCTGGACTAAATGGCCTGTGGAACGGATTTCCGTGTAGACGTCAACGCTTGTCTGCTTGACTGGCAGCAACCCATTGACTGTCTCCCTCAGCTGACTCAGACTGGTCCCATCAAGGCCCCCTTGACGAAGGCGGAAGGGAGACCCCAACATGCAGAGAAGGTTACAAGCAAGAAAGTATTTCCCAAACCGAAAATAAGTAAGAAGAAAACTGGGAATGAATATTCAGATCTGCGGCCCCTGATTAACGAGGATACTGATGAACTGCAAGACAGTGATGCTCATCTCGTGGACTGCAGCACGGGGGATGATGGTGCCACGAGGCACATAGCACAAGACAGTGCTCTTACAGGTAACATTACTTTCCTACAGCTCATCGTGCGACGTCCCTTTGTACGGTATAGGTTATATCGCTGCGTTTCAGACTAATATGGGAGTCAAGACCGAAGTGATGCAGGTCTCAGACGTTTACCCACGGGTCCATGTTTGGTGCTGACAACCTAGCCACATAATCCGGGCGAACTGGGATTCGAACCCCAAAACATTGGTTTCTGGTGTGCCCATGGGGCTACGCAACTCTGTACAGCGCGCGCACGCACGCACGCACGCACGCACGCACGCACACACACACACACACACACACGCACGCACGCACGCACGCACGCACGCACGCACACACACACACACATTCACACTCACACTCACACTCACACCCACACACACTCACACACACACATACACATCTATGTGCCTGATGTGATTAATATACGTTAAATTGGCACATGGTAGCCACAGTGAACAATAGTTTCAGGTATATCTGGCGGACTGTACTTAAATATTACTCGAGTCAGGGCTAGTGAAAACAATGGTTAATATTATGAGCATCGTCCCAGCCAGACCCAATTTAGTTGCCTCTCACGACAAGCAATACAGTTCTGGGGTCATCTTCCTTCTCACGACATGAGCTTTATTGGTTTAATATGTAAGAATATCTGAGTGAATCAGTTTAAACGCCGCAGTCAGCAATAGTCTTGTAATATCGTGACAAATTGTACATGATCCAGTCTGGGTCATGTAAACCACTGATTGCTAGGGTAAGTTATTATGCCCTTAAAAGTAAACTTTGAAAAGTACGTTGAATTGGACGTACACACTCACCTTCAACTAACAATGATTCCCTACCAAGACAATAAAAACGGGACGATTGTTTGACCATGAGAAAATATCCGGACAAATGACCACGCTAACACAACCTGTAGAATCATGTCAATTTGAAAAATTGAAATATGAATGTACTTCCTCATTATTTGTAGACATAGTATCTAGTAACACATTCCTTCCTTCTATTTCTTAGCTGGGTTGGACAGAACGTGCGAGGGTGATTCTCGAGGAACAACGCAGTGCGAGGAGGATCATGCGGTTGGGAAAGCGTGTCTAACACGGAAGCTGTATAAAAAGGAAACTGAAATTGACTATTCAGATGTCAAGCCGTTAATCGACGAAGACACTGAGCGACTACCCGGCCAACAACTAGTGGACTTCAGCGTCAGTGACGATGATACCACGAGTCTCTTAGCCCACAGTAACTCGCTGACAGGTACGGCATATATATTCTACTTTAGTATGGATTCACAAGTACTGTAGTCAATGAAATCCACGACTAATTAACAACTTATTAGTTTGAAATACTCCTTGTGAGTGGGTATTAAACGCCGCTTTGAACTGTATTCCACTTATTTCGCGGCATGTCAGGCTAATGCGAGAGGAAAGCCCGAAGTGATGCAGGTCACAGGCGTTTACTACTTGCGTGAAACCCACGAGGTATGGTACCATGACACACAATCAAACCGGGATTCGAACCTACGATTATAGATTTCTAGCGTGCCAAAAGGACGCAACTTAGACATATGTGCAACTCGTAATCCCTGTACTCTGTACGGGCGAATACGGTATCTCCCACATAACATCTGGGGTCGAGTCCCATTTAGTACATGTGGCCCCAAGAGGATTCCGACATACAATAGGTCCCCAGCAGCACACTGAGACGACTAAAGGATCGAGTGGTCAGGCTCGGTGACCTGGTTTGTTGCGTATTCCCGTAACCCTAATACAATGGGTCCCCAGCAACACACTGAGACGACTAAAGGATCGAGTGGTCAGGCTCGGTGACCTGGTTTGTTGCGTATTCCCGTAACCCTAATACAATGGGTCCCCAGCAACACACTGATACGACTAAAGGATCGCGTGGTCAGGCTCGGTGACCTGGTTTGTTGCGTATTCCCGTAACCCTAATACAATGGGTCCCCAGCAACACACTGATACGACTAAAGGATCGCGTGGTCAGGCTCGGTGACCTGGTTTGTTGCGTATTCCCGTAACCCTAATACAATGGGTCCCCAGCAACACACTGATACGACTAAAGGATCGAGTGGTCAGGCTCGGTGACCTGGTTTGTTGCGTATTCCCGTAACCCTAATACAATGGGTCCCCAGCAACACACTGATACGACTAAAGGATCGCGTGGTCAGGCTCGGTGACCTGGTTTGTTGCGTATTCCCGTAACCCTAATACACATGGAACAGGCTGACTTCAAATATATTATGTCTGTGATTGTGCTTGATTTCTGAGAATAACTACGGTGAAACCTACTATGCATTTCAAAAGCCGGACTTCCTGTGACTAATGTATGTCATGATTAACTGAATCGCGTTGGTATATTCAAGTGGAAGATGCATGTAGAGACCAAGCTACGTATACATTCTCTTATGTTTCGACCTGGAAGGCTTGTTCTATCTCATTGATGTTAATATACCATGTCTGATTATCATTTCTACATCGACCACATCTTCTCAATGAACTCACCTACTTATAAATTCTGCGACGGGAACGTTTCAAGAAGAAGAGGGGCAAAATAAAGTATACCGAATTTGTCTTTGACGTAATTAGAAAAGGAAAAAAGACTGCTGCTAAATTTTATTATGTCTATTACATCATCACTCTTTCTTGCACAAGTTTGTAAAAGGTAATCTGACTGGTTAATTTGTGTAACAATAAATTTGTTGAATGAAGACTTGGGTAAGAAATGAATTTGCAACCACATGACCTTTATCATGTTTGAAATGTAAATCTGTCCCGAAAAGGCACATTAATTGTTTTTAAAGTTGTGATGTCTAAAATACAAATCAGCAGATGTGTATTGTAAATTTAAAAAAAGAAAGAAAAAAGTTAATTAAAAGTATATTATACGTGTAGAAGTATTCTTCGAGTGCTGACTAAGCGCCATTACAGTTCACTTTTGGGATAATAAAATCAACTGAGCGTTTCTTTTGCTCCTGATTCTATAATGCATCGTTTTATCGATGAACCTAGCAGCAGATGCTTTAAGATAGCTCTGTATATCGATGTGATACCTACTTCCCAAGAGAATACTGCACGATGTTAAATGACTAGATGACGGTTTCCCGATGTGTGAGCGTTATTGAAAGCAAAGTTTGTCGGTTCACTCAGGTGTTGTATTCCAACGCTATGTCTAAACGTACTGTATTGAAGAGCAATATGTCTTATATACCTCGATTATGTTCAGAATGACATTACACGACAAAGAGATCAACTACCTTTTTATGACAATAAGTACATAAAAATCATAAGATATGTGCCTAAAGAGTGATTATAATAGGAATATAACTCATGTATTATGCTCGCAAACGGCTTGCAAGATGCAACGTTTATTCCTAAATATGATACAGTAAACTACGTTTATAACGAAAACCCTTATAACGAACTGACGGATAAAACGAACAGTTTTGGGGTCCCGTCCATGATTATATTTTCTATGATTATAATGAACTACGGTTATAACGAATTAAAATTAGAGACCCCTTTGAGTTCGTTATAACCGTATTTTACTGTATACAGTAAAATACGTTTATTACTCATGTTGTGAATTATTATACATGTGCTAATTAACATACACGAAATTTAACTTCTGGTTCATGTTTTTCTGAAACGAAACAGTATGTGGCCAAGCCGTTTCTTTATGGGTGAAATATTCTCAGTGTCGGATGATTATAACTCAAATGGCCGATAAAAAACTATTTATAATTAAAAACGTTGAAACACATAGACATTTTACTTCTACAAACCTTTGCTATGTGATAATTATCTAAGATCAAAGGCTAAAGGTACAAGAAGGACACCTCTTCAATTACTGTTGGCACACTTTTTCATAAATTATTAACTATTTGGCACGTAATCTTAATTTTAGCACGTCAGCTGTTTTCCCAACAGGTTTGGATGTGCGGTTATTCAAATACAAATCAATTTCATTTTCAGTCTACTACAACATGATAATGGCGTCAACAAGGAAAGTGGCAACCTATAGCAGGGATGAGGATCGGTATATCACAGCAACTGAAGCACATGCACAGGAGGTACCACGTGATACCATTTCGCTTCGGTTGGACAAGGCGCAGACTGACATTGAACAGTCGATGGACCAAGCCATGACAGTGCTCTTGAACAAGAAGAAGCTTCTACTAGGCAGACTCCATACGCTGAGGGTGAGGCGCGAGGAAGAACAGAAAGAACGAGACAAAGCAAAGGTAAAGACACCCATCAGAGTGATTAAATCTCCAAGAGCAAGCCCTGGTCCAAATCCCGATTCAGACCCGGAACAAGATAGTGTGTTTACCCGTAAGATGGTTATCAAGACTGACAAGAGAAAAAATGAACTGAAGCTACTCGATCAGATTGAAGACATTGTGACAAAAGCTGAAATGATATCACAAGCTGCAAAAGGAGTCAACTACATGGCGCCCTTCCTAGAGGCTACAGTCCTTGCTGATGTTGACGGCGATGAAGAATCATCGGATCTGGTTGACGTGCAGGTCGTTCATGACGGAGGAGACACGTTTATTCTTGCCACTGACTTCAAGAATTCATGTCTTAAGTCATTTTCAATCTCATTAGAAGCTGCTAGCCGAGGTGTACTCAAATTTGATAGCTCGCCATGGGGCATCTCTCAAGTAAAGTCCAATATGGCTGCTGTAAGTGTTCCATTGTCAAATAAGGTGTGTTTCGTGGAGCTGATACCTCATTTGAAACTGAAGGAGACTGTAAGGACGAAGAAACAATATTATGGACTTGTATCTGTAGGATCTCGTTTCCTTGTGGCTACTTCTCCATACAGCAACCCTCGCTCCGTCGACATCATTGCAAATACAGGGCACATTCTTCACACCCTCACTGTTGATACGCTGATGCAGCAGCCTTCTTTCATCTGCCTCACTCCAAAGGGTTCGTTTATTGTCAGTGACCTTTCCAAAGGAGCAGTTCTGATTTTATCCCATAAACTGGAATTTCAGTCAGGGCTTGAACTTGGAAATAAAGCTCACATGCAGTCGTCACGTGGAGTGACAACAAACAAAGAGGGTGATGTGTTTGTGGTTGACTACAATCAGAAAAAGGTCAAGGTGTTTTCGAGTGAAGGACACTTCCTGAAAGATCTCTTGACTTCCGAGGATGGACTAAAGTACCCGTACGGTGTTTGTTTTGATGATCATGGTCGAATATGTGTCACGGATGGAGGCAAGATAAAGATCTTTAGCTACTGATATGTACGTTTTACTTCTGCTGAAGGGTCCAAATACAAGTATTTCCAGGTCCCAGTCTGAGCAACAATAACGACACTGTGACCTGGTTTTAAGTCCAAATTCAAATATTGTTCATCTTTATAGAAATACATGTTCATATGACCCAACCATGCTTACTTCCAAATTCGTAAACGACGAGTTTTCTCTGCATGTAATGCCGAATCTTCAGACACCCGTGACGATCCGGGTTGGAATAGGTCTTCAGGTCTTTGTCGTAAGAAGGGTCTAACAGGATCGGGTGGTCAGGCTCGGTGATTTGGTTGATGCATGGCATCGTATCCTAATTTCGTAGATCTATGCTCATGATATCAATCGACCCGTGAGATTCCGGGGTAGAATAGGTCTTCAGCAACCCATGCTTGTCGTAAAAGGCGACCAACGGCGATCAACTTGGTTGATGCATGTCATCGATCACAATTGCGTGGATCGATGCTCATGATATCAATCACTGGATTGTCTGGTCCAGACTCGATTATTTACAGACCGCCGTCATATAGCTGGAATATTGCTGAGTGCGGCGTTAAACAACAAACCAACCAACTAACCAAATCATGATATCAATCACTGGGTTGTCTGGTCCAGACTCGATTATTTACAGACCGCCGTCATATAACTGGAATATTGCTGAGTGCGGCGTTAAACGACAAACAAACACACATCTTCAGTGAGTGAGTGAGTGAGTAGCTATATATGGTTTTGTAGGCAATGTCACAGCGCCATAACAGCAGGGAGAACAAAATTGACTTAAAATGGGTTCCCATGTGCAGTATGGAACCTGAGTATCTTGAACACGAATCTTGTCCAAATTGTCATCCCACCTTCTCCTTTTATGTGTTACAACTTTTTTATGTAAATTATTAATTATGTATAATAACATAACCTTCAGTGTGATGGATATACAAAACCAGACGGACCAGCTAAAGAACAGATACGTACTATGCACGTGGTCTTCATGCTCAGTAATAAAGAGAATATTCTTTTTGTAATGTATTGTTGCTTTCGTACGTACATTACTACACCACTATAATAGTCGAATGTTTAAATACTACTGTGTTTTCGAACTGTTCACATTTGAATATGTTCTATCGAATCATGTTGATGTTAGTAGAGTGTAGTATATATTGTAATTTGTTTGTTGTTAAACGCCGCAAAGGTATATGGAGTACTACTGTATGTTACCCATGGGGATTGCATTTATGAAATATAATTCCCAGCAAGTTATGTTTGTCGTGAGAGGCGACAAAATGGATTGGAGATCGTGCCTGGTGACTTGATTGAATGCACGTCATCGTTTCCCAATTGCGTGGAAATCAATTGTTAATCGCTGGATTGTCTGGTCCAGATTGAATTATGTACAGATCGCCGTCAAATAGCTTGAATTTTGCCGAGTGCGGTGCCAACAGTACTTATGTCGAACGTGAAAACAGGTCACGATACAAGTGAACCCGTCGGTTTACCACTTCGGTGAGACCCACGAGCACAGGTATGGTGCTGACAAACCTAGAAACATAATTGGGGCGAACCGGGATTTGAACCCACAATCATAGGTTTCTGGCATGCCCAAGGGACGCAACTCTGCACAGCGAATCGCGGCACCTTAGACGACTGGGCCACTCGTAATAGAAAAAAGTAACTCTCCTTAATTCACATTGGAGTAAGTGTAATGTTATTGAAAACAACATGAAATTTGGTCATTCGGCTGATCACTGTTTTATCATACCAAGGTCATTGCCAAAACCCATACTTGGTAACAGGAGACAGAGCGTCACGCCCTATAAGTGTGTGTGTGTGTGTGTGTGTGTGTGTGTGTGTGTGTGTGTGTGTGTGTTTGTAACAATTCAATTAACGTTGCGTTGATTCAATGCAAGCAGCGGCGGCTCATTGAAGACAGCAGATGATTGTAAACAGCCTGGGAAATATTCCAATTGTCAATCACAGATTGGCCCAAATGGGCTGACGTTACAGGCTGGTTCTGGTCCTGTCTTAAGCGTCGGAGGGGCGGTCGGGTAGCCTAGTGGTTAAAGCGTTCGCCCGTCACGCCGAAGACCCGGGTTCGATTCCCGACATGGGTACAATGTGTGAAGCCCATTTCTGGTGTCCCCCGCCGTGATATTGCTGGAATATTGCTAAAAGCGACGTAAAACCATACTCACTCACTCACTCACTTAAGCGTCGGACTATCTCATCCCAGACATGGTCTAGGAGGGAGAGATCTGGAGAAACAGCCGGCCATTACAGTACAGCAATGTTATGCGACCTCAAAACGTCTGCACATGTAACATACCTGTACGTCCCTGCATGTACACAAAGGGACCCGTGAAGATCCGGGGTAGAATAGGTCTTCTGCAACCCATGCTTGCCATAAATGGCGACTATGCTTGTCGTAAGAGGCAATTAACGGGATCGGGTGCTCAGGCTCGCTGACTTGGTTGATGCATGTGATCGTGTCTCAATAACGCGGATCGATGCTCATGATTTCAATCACCGGATTGTCTGGAATATTGCTGAGTGCGGCGTTAAACAAACAAATAAAAAATTTACACAAAGGTAGCATGATGTAGAACGACGTCGTCCCGGTAGCGATCGTCATCCAAATTGCCATTTACGATGATGACGTGTGTACTCCCAGCCAATACCATTAACCTTTAACCCGCAAATTGACAATGTGGAGTAATGCAAACGTTGCTAAAACGTTCTCCGCGACGCCTGTAAAACCCTTTCACGACCATCGGATGTCCAGATATAACCTGGTTTCATATGTGAACGGTATGATTGTCCAGTCTTGTCCTCTGAACCTCAGATAATGTCCACACCAAGCTAGGCGTCCCCGACGGTGATGTGGAATGACAATTGGGCGTACCGCTTGACGTCAGGGCCGGAAGTAATGCTCTAAAGACCGATTGCGTACGCCACTGCCATTAATAGGCCTCAAACCAGGACTTATTCTAACTGTTAATATTGCAGTTGGATGTATCAACCGAATATTGTTGACGTGACGTCACACGTGGACGACCGCCCGTGGCATGTCATGAGCGGTGCCTGCAGCGGATAAATCGCAACTTGAACTAGTCATGACTAATGTTGCTTTTATAGTGCCAGCCCACTGAGATACCATGCCGCAGTTTAATATGAATACCATATTCACACACAGTTTGCTGAATCCTAGGCAATCAGTCCTTGTTTTAGCCCCTTCATGCCGAGCGCTTGCAGGGTAACAACAAGTACCATCTTTTAACGTCTTTTGGTATGACGCGGCCGGAGATCGAACCCCTCCGCTCTCCGGGCAGAGTGAGTGAGTGAGTGAGTTTGGTTTTACGCCGCTTTTAGCAATATTCCAGCAATATCATGGCGGGGGACACCAGAAATGGGCTTCACACATTGTACCCATGTCGGGAATCGAACCCGGGTCTTCGGCGTGACGAGCGAACGCTTTAACCACTAGGCTACCACACCGCCCCTCTCCGGGCAAAGGCTCTACAACTGGACCACGGATGCGGTCGGACCGGGTATATATTGCAGAAATGTTTATCATATTAAATACATATCATCATTAGTACAAAACACAATAGGCGTCAACATCACGATTTCATATGCGGGAGGAGGGACGATGGGGTCGTCGAGTGGTTAAAGCGTTCGCTCGTCACGCCAAAGACCCGGATTCGATACTACACATGGGTAGAATGTGTGAGCTCTTTTCTGGTGTCCCCCGCCGTCATATTGCTAGAAAATGGATAAAAGTGGCGTAAAACTGTACTCACTCACTCATATGCTGTGGAAGGGTGATATTGCGGCAGTATCATAAACTACGCAGAAAACATCATATACAAAAACCGTCATTCCCACGCAAGTGTCCCCAGGTGATGTACCGTCCATGGGACCATTGCAGTGAGTGAGTGAGTTGAATTCAACGCGTCTTTGAACATTATTCCAGTTATATCACGGCCTGAAAGAAAGACTGATGTGGTGTAGGTCTCAGACGTTTACCGCTTCAGTGAAACCCGCGTGTACGGGCATACGTACGATGTTGAAGAACCTATAAACATAACCGCGGCGAACCGGGATTAGAACTCATGATCATAGGTTCCTGGCGTGCGAAAGGGACGCAACTCTGCACAACTTAAACAACTCACAACACGATTACACACAAAGGGAGAAAGCTACTTCGTAAATTGTGATTGAATACGGAAATGAATTCATTTACACGGAAATATGTTGTGTCTTATCTTGTACTGTAAGATTAAAAGGCCTGTTTACTTCCGACAGAATAATATATTTTAATTGTCATTGTGTCTAGTCATACAAACTGATAGTATTATCGCGACTTTCCGAGTCCTGGTCTTTGTGTCGAGTGAGCGATATCGGTCAGAATATAAATCCTTTTGAAACTTTACCTCGACTTCAGTGTTAGTGTATAAGTGCCTAAATTCAGGTTTGAGCAAGAGGGTTTTGTCTCTATTGCCGTTTAGAGGCAACCATCGAGCGACACCAAAAGGCTGCAAGACATAATTAATACGTGGCTTTATACGTAACATTGGAATTTCTGCACATGATACCACTAGCTAGCAGTATTATACCAACTATATAATAGTTATTAAGCCCCAACGAGGGCGTACATTTGTGAACATGACATACACTTTAAATGGCGTTCACTTTAACTGTATGCGTACAGGACACTGGCGCATGGGGGCAAAGGGAGGAAGTGGTGAACTGTCGACAAACACAATGTACAACTTCCTGTTGAAATATTCATGTATACAACTCATACTCTAAGTGCCATACTACTCAGGGGAACAAAAGAACTTAAAGAACATTCGAATTTGATTTCGTTGATATCAGGCTATGACAGATAACTGTAGTAATATGACTGTAGTATTATGAGTGAGTGAGTTGGGTTTAACGCGGCTTTTAACATTATTCAAGTTATATCACGGCGTGTCAGCTTAATGTGGGAAGAAAGCTCGAAGTGATGCAGGTCTCAAACGTTTACCATGGGGATAGTGCTGACAAACCTAGAAACATAAGAACCGGGATTCGAACCCACAATCATAGGTTTCTGGCGTGCCCAAGGAACGCAACTCTGCACAGCGAATTGCGGCGCCTTACACGACTGGGCCACCCGTGCCCCCTGTAGTATTATGAAATAATTGCTTATCCCAACGGCGTGGGTCGCTGCTGACGTTATCAATCACTGGCATTCCCGATCTAGACTCGATTATTTCTGAGAATATAGGTGGAATACAGCTGTATACAGCGTTTACAACTAAACAACAACGATAACAACCAAGATATCCTCTCATTACATAACAAAATGTATAATATATGAGTGAGTCAGTTGGTTTTCGCTCCGC